CTGCCCCTCCTTCCTTTCTCTTACTGCTGCCCTCCTCTTTCTCTTACTGCTGCCCTCCTCTTCCTTTCCTTCTTACTGCTGCCCCTCCTCTTTCTTTCTTTTTGTGCTGCCCTCCTCTTCCTTCACTTAGTGCTGCCTCCTCCTCCTTCCTTCACTTACTGCTGCCCCTCCCTTCCTTTCTTCTTACTGCTGGTTCTCCTTCTTCCTTCTCTTACTGCTGCCCTCTCCTCTTCCTTCTTGGCATTGCTGCTCCCTCCTCTTCCTTCTCTTACTGCTGCCCTCCTCTTCCTTCTCTTACTGCTGCCCCTCTTCCTTCTTACTGCTGCCCCTCCTCTGCTTCTCTTACTGCTGCCCTCCTCTCCTTCTTCTTACTGCTGCCCTCCTTCCTTCTCTTACTAAGGCCCCTCCTCTTGCTTCTCTTACTGCTGCCCTCCTTCTTACTTCTCTTACTGCTGCCCCTCCTCTTCTTCACTTAGTGCTGCCCTCCTTCCTTCTCTCTTTACTGCTGCCCCTCCTCTTCCTTCTCTTACTGCTGCCCCTCCTCTTCCTTCTTACTGCTGCCCCTCCCTCTTCCTTTTCATTGCTGCCCTCCTCTTTCCTTTCTCATTGCTGCCCCTCTCTTCCTTCTTCACTTAGTGCTGCCCCTCCTCTTCTTTCTCTTACTGCTGCTCCCTCCTCTTCCTTCTTACTGCTGCCCTCCTCTTCCTCTCTTACTGTCAGTTCCTCCTCTCTCTTCTTACTGCTGCCCTCTCTTCTCTTACTGCTGCCCCTTCCTCTCTTCTCTACTGCTGCCCCTCCTCTTCCTTCTCTTACTGCTGCCCTCCTTCCTTCTCTTACTGCTTCTCTTACTGCTGCCCCTCCTCTTGCTTCTCTTACTGCTGCCCCTCTTCCTTCTCTTACTGCTGCCCCTTCTCTTCCTCTTCTCACCGAGATCCCTCCATCCTCTTCCCTCCCTCACCGCCTTCTCTTCTTGCCTTCACCCCTCTTCCTGTCCCCTTTTCTCCTTCCCTCTATACGTCAATATATCTAAAACAGTTTGTGGAATATACCTGTATTTTTCCTAATTAAATCCTTAAGCCTTAAATGTTAATCTTACAGTATAGTGCAAAACTGTAGGAGTCTTATGTCTGAAGACTTTCTTGGTTGTAAGGACTGAACTCTGTAAACTAGGTCGTGTCCAATATACTTCACTTAAGGGTGATAGGGGTGAACATGTTTCGTAATTAAATAGGAAATTTAAGGCTGGTTTGTGGGTTTTAAAAATTACCTTAAGGGGTTTTTATGGTAGGTGAAGGGGCTTAATGATTATACTAAGGAAGTTATAGGGTTGGACAAAATGCTTGGTAACTATTAGTAACCAAGGCCACATACTTATCTAATAGTTCGTGCGCACAATAGTGTCAAGCAAATGACACACACACACACACACACACACACACACACACACACACACACACACACACACACACACAGGTACGTAATGTGGGGGAACGTCCTTTGGCAGCGCCACGAAGGTAATTAAACGTCACGTCACTTCCACAGTAGCCTCCCAGGGCCATTAACACACACACACACACACACACACACACACACACCATCTCCCACGCTACCTCAGAACTTAAGACCTGACATACGTCCATCCCGCCAACTGCGAGTTCTCCGAGATTTAAAAATAGACTGAAATATCCTGGTAGGTTAGAGCTAGAGGGAGGAAAGTGAGAGAGTGAGGGTGGGGGGAGAGGGGATAAGACGATGGTTGGGGGGAGGGGGGGGTGACCTGGCTTGGGAGACGATTCCGTGACGTCAATCGCTGTGGCCGCCGCCCACCTCCCTTGTACTGCGCCTCCGTCACCCACCTCCTCCTTTACACACTGACGTCTCACTGTCTCACACCATACATATTCCATGAGTATATACATGGGCATACATATCCTCCACCAGTATATACATGAGCATACATATCCTCCATCAGTATATACATGGGCATACATACCCTCCACCAGTATATACATGAGCATACATATCCCCCACCAGTATATAAATGGGCATACATATCCCCCACCAGTATATACACGGGCATACATATCCTCCACCAGTATATACATAGGCATACATATCCCCCACCAGTATATACATGGGCATACATATCCCCCACCAGTATATACATGGGCATACATATCCCCCACCAGTATATAAATGGGCATACATATCCCCCACCAGTATATACACGAGGCATACATATCTTCCACCAGCATACAGTATATACATGGGCATACATATCACAACCAATTATATACATGGGCATACACATAGCCTCCATCAGCAGTATATACATGGGCATACATATCTTCCACCAATACATACAGTATATACATGGGCGCATATCCTCCATCAGAATTATACATGAGCATTCATATCTTCCTGTACATGTACAGTATATACATGGGCATACATATCCCCAACCAGTATATACATGGACATATATCCTCCATCGGCGAGTATATACGGGCATATATCCTCCACCAGTATATACACGGGCATACATATCTTCCACCAATACATACAGTATATACATGGGCATACATATCCCCAACCAGTATATACATGGGCATACATATCCTCCATCAGTATATACATGGGCATACATATCTTCCTCCAATACATACAGTATATACATGGGCATACATATCCTCCATCAGTATATACATGGGCATACATATCCTCCACCAGTATATACAGGGGCATACATATCTTCCAACAATACATACAGTATATACATGGGCATATATCCCCAACCAGTATATACATGGGCATATATCCTCCATAAGTATATACATGGGCATACATATCTTCCACAATACATACAGTATATACATGGGCATACATATCCTCCATCAGTATGTACATGGGCATACATATCTTCCACCAATACATACAGTATATACATGGGCATACATATCCTCCATCAGTATATACATGGGCATACATATCCTCCACCAGTATATACAAGGGCATACATATCTTCCACCAATACATACAGTATATACATGGGCATACATATCCCCAACCAGTATATACATGGGCATACATATCCTCCATCAGTATATTCATGATCATACATATCTTCCACCAATACATACAGTATATACATGGGCATACATATCCCCAACCAGTATATACATGGGCATACATATCCTCCATCAGTATATACATGAGCATACATATCTTCCACCAATACATACAGTATATACATGGGCATACATATCCTCCACCAGTATATACATAAGCATACATATCCTCCATCAGTAATACATGGGCATACATATCCTCCACCAGTATATACATGAGCATACATATCCTCCATCAATATATACAAGGGCATACATATCCTCCACCAGTATATACATGAGCATACATATCCTCCATCAATATATACATGGGCATACATATCCTCCATCAGTATATACATGAGCATACATATCTTCCACCAATACATACAGTATATACATGGGCATACATATCCTCCCCAGTATATCATGGGTATATACATGGGCATACATATCTTCCACCAATACATACAGTATATACATGGGCATACATATCCCCCACCAGTATATACATGGGCATATATATCCTCCACCAGTATATACATGAGCATACATATCCTCCATCAATATATACATGGGCATACATATCTTCCACCAATACATACAGTATATACATGGGCATACATATCCCCCACCAGTATATATATGGGCATATATATCCTCCACCAGTATATACATGAGCATACATAGCCTCCATCAGTATATACATGGGCATACATATCCTCCACCAATACATACAGTATATATATGGGCATACATATCCTCCACCAGCATATACATAGGCATACATATCCTTCACCAGTATATACATAGGCATACATATCCTTCACCAGTATATATATGGGCATACATATCCTCCACCAGTATATAAATGGGCATACATTCTCCACCAGTATATACATGAGCATACATTTTCTACCAGTATATACATGGCATACATATTCCACCAGTAGATACATGGGAATACATACTCCCCATGTTCTAGTAGTAAGAGTCATGAAGTCTTGGAATAACCTGACAGAATGTTGTGGCAGTACCAAGTGTGAGTTCAAGCTTGACTACACTGGAACATGCACACGTACACACAACTTGCTACCAGAACACAACAGGGAATTGACCGACGGCCCGACTGATTAATAAACTGAAAAGTTGCTTTGAGAAAATTGTATTGTAATTTAAAGTAAGGAAAGTTGATGAGTGTTGATTGGACCAATAAACAGTGGTAAAATAAGCACCCTGAAGAACACGTTGTTGTCCTCAGGCTAGTGGTGGAGTGAGGCGAGGACACATGTAACAGGGGAGGATTATGTGACGAGGTTACATATGAGGTAGGTACGTGTGTGTGTGTGTGTGTGTGTGTGTGTGTGTGTGTGTGTGTGTGTGTGTGTGTGTGTTAGCTCAGACTCCGAGAGGACCAAGGAAATGTTCTTGCAATTCGGGTTACAACTAAACCTTACTTACTTTTAACTGCCCGTGTGACAGGTGTACTGTACTGTACATGAGAGCAGGTAAACCATTTCTCTTTCATAGTTATCCTTCTCACCTTTGATTTCTGGAGACCGTCACTACCCGAGGTGTCTTTCCTTATTAATGTAACGTGTATTATTGTTTTATTTAGTTAAATGACTAACAAATGAGAGGAGTTAACCTTTGAGAGCTCTTGTTCTATAAACCTTAACTCACAGAAACACTCCCGTCACTCACCTCGCCTGATACTCTCACACTAAAGCATTCACCACTGTAGCCGGTCTTTACATTAGATTCCGCATCCAGTTGCCTGGCACTTCCTTCTTTTCAGAGTTAAATAATGATTAAACAATATAAACATTGGATTAAGAATTCTAATGAGGTAATACAAATGGACAGAGAGGTGGGGGTTGTGGCAACACTTACGTTATGTGACCAATAGGAATAGTCGAAGTTGAAGTTCTTGGAGGCTTCCTTGCTGCCGGGTGGTACCTTGGGGTTGGTTATACCTGCAAGATGAAAACATAATTGTTTATAACAGCAGAACAAACACACAAAACTTACAATGAATTGAGTTCTGGATATGATTAACTAACAAGGGGTGCCTGACGACACGTCGTTCACCTGCTGATTACATATTACAAAAGATCTAAAGAATTTACGCAACAAAAGTTCGACCCTCCGTGGTGTGAATTGACCAGTCACATATTCTGACGCAAATGTCCAGAGACAGATGATATATGACGTCGTGGTGGGTATTATGGTGCGCTGACACCAAGGCAGGAACGGACATAATTTATTGCTGACAAACAACGTGTTCACCAGTCAGAAAAACTAAAAAAAAGTGAAGGTGAACCTATTCAATCTAAGTGCCTCAAAGAGAATGAATAATGTTTCCTGAAACATTAAATCTGCTCCAATTTCTAGTAAACCTCTTCAGATTACATTTTTAAATCCATTTTATATTTTTGTGAACAGAACCTTCAAAATTTTAAGGCTCACCTTTTCCAATTCATACATTTATCACTGAAGCGACTAATCGCTCATCCTGAGGAAAAGGTTGTCAGGCGTCCCTTGTTACATTGCCTCGCCCCGTTGTCCCGAAAAGGTGTGTCGGGACGCATAACTGCCCAGTATTGGATTGGCCCTGATTCGCTGACTTAAAAACAATAAATTATCCAAGCTTGCCACTGCAACCACCTCTTTTGATGAGTTATTTCGGTCACCCAGCCACAACCTGCGCTTGTTACCATGTCAGGGGTCGGGGAGCAGCACGCCTCCACCTACTGTACACTGTACAGTGTCTAGCAGTGTCAGAGAGCAGTTGTGTTGCACTGTGAACCTGTAACTATGCAATAGGCTAGCTTCTGCAACTAACAAATATTTAAACAAAGCAATATACACTACATTACTTGGTTTTTGTGCTGGAATATTGTTCACCCTTTTATTTATTACGGTAAAACGTAACTGGTCATGTCAATGGCGTATCTTTGTGGAAAAATTGTTTTATTATCTCTTAGCCAAAATGTCAGAAGTTAGACCCAGCCCAAATTTATCGTAACTTAAAAAAAAGTATAAACAGTAACTGTTTTCGCCATTTTTTATTTCGTTTATATGTTAAATGTTACCTTTAATTCTCCAAATAAAAGTTGACAATAATTTGTTTTTATATTTCACCCCCCCAAAAATTGTCCCGTATTTTGATATCGAAAATCCGCCAATTCTCTACGAAGGTGTTCTTCAATTAGTATATATAAAAAAAAAAACAGCGTGACCCTCAATTCCTAAATATATGATCCGCCAACTGCCCACCGTAAGTCCATAACCTAAGTGTGGAGATGGAGTAGGACGCTGAAGACAGTAGCATAATACTCTTTATTTCATAATGCCATGCATGATACAAAATGTTATAAGAGACACTACAACTTCAGGGCACGTCCACCCAACAACGACGAGTGTAGCCGGAGGTCGCAAGGTGAATATGACTAAGTCATAAATTCAATATATTTCTTAAATGTACTACGAATGACGGTAAACGTAATAAATATTAACTTTGCATGTAACAGATTGGTCAATCATACAGTATATAGGTTAGGGTGCATTTAAAAATTACAATTCATTACATTAAAAATAATTTGTTCAGCATTCAATATTATTCTCGAAACGCAATTACAGTTAAATCATAATAAATTTAAGAAAATTATTACATTTAACGTTATGTGCGTGGCCGCCGCGAGTGGTGTTGCGTGATCCACCGGAAGCAACGCTTACATCTCACTATTGCGTCCTGGGTTCGATCTCCGGGTGGGATGTAAGAAAGGTTTATCTAGTATAACCTTACCAAATTTCGCAAGTTTTCTCCGTGTACACCAGTTTGTGCCTGCAGTAACAATGTACAGTGAAGGTAGTAACAGAGCACAGATCGCCCGCCCGACTGACTAGGAAGCTGACAAATGGTGTAAAAAAGAAAAAAAAAATCATCACCAATCACTCACCCTAAACTCATGAGCTGAGATTAGTTTCTGGATGAAAATAATTTGTTTTGGAAGTGGGTGGTAGCCAATCGTGTTCTTCATGGACTGTCATAGAAGACACAACTATTTTGTTTAAACTGAGAGCAATACCAAGTATTGAAGGGTGTTCATAAAGTCCCGTTCTGCTTTCAAACATGTATTACGTGCAAATGCCACAAAATATTGAAATGCAATTTACCTAAGCAAATAACAAAAAAAACATGCATTTCAATATCTTATGCAGTTTGCACATAATGCTTGAAATTAGAACGGGACTTTATGGACACCCTGTACTGTACCTGCTTTGGGAGGCGTGTTCTGAGACCCAGTTGAATAATGTAAATACTGAAACATATTGAGGAAAGACTCCCTGTTATCAACAAAACCCCAAAACCTTGAGAATAGACGAACAGTATGGCTTGTTAACAAAATATAACTCATGTTCCTGAAAGCGATCCCAGTGAGGTTCAACACGTGTACTGGAGACGCACATATTCATCAGTCTAACAAGATGAAGGGAAGAGAGTCGCCATCACTGTTGAGAGCTGTCAGAGCTGTCAGTGTCCCTGCTCGCGCAACTTAACATCAAGGGAAGCACCTTAAATGATAATACTCGAGCTTACACCAGACTCCACTTTAGTTGAATGAGTCATTCTGCTCAACTGTCATAATGATGATGACGGTGATGTATAATGATAATCATAACAACTAGAAAAATAATCGATTTTTCTATAACCATTGCACCGTTCTCTGCCTTCAGCAAGATGACCTGGAAAGGCTACTTTGTAACCTACACCTATCAGTAACCTACACCACGCACTCCACTCTGACGTTCCTCTCCCCTTGCACAAGCTCCCTCACCCTATCCTCCATCCTCGTTTTCATGGCTTCATTCGTTGAAGGCAGGAATGAATCATTCCTGACCCTCAACATCACTCACCATGAGACGACGTCACCATGTTTTCAGACATATTGTCTACGTGTATTTACAACTAACTAACAATTCTAGCATTAGTTTTCTCAGTCAACTCTATTTCTGTTATAGATCTTCCTCTCGTCTTATCTTTCCTCCCTCTGTTCAGTCCTCTGGCTCACAGTACCTTCCAGTAATATAATACACTATTTCCAGTTGACCAGTTCTCCCAATGTGCCCATCATTGTAGAGCTACACCCATGTTTGACTCCCGTCCACCACACCAGACAGAACTCATACTTCTAACACACTGGTAAGCCCGCCCATCTCTCACGCCTTTTGGTGGACCAGTGTGAATGACTAGTGTGATAGCGTGTTTATGAAACCTGTCTGGGGCAAAATAAATCTTCCATGACTAAGCCAGTCGGCCCTTGGAGAAGTGGAATTCTACCTTACTGACAACAGGAGTGCCACGCCACTGGCAGGGACAGTGTACGCAGTGTTTTAGTCTAAAGCTTTTCGTTAGCCCTAAGTGCCGACTATAGTGCACGATGTCAATGGCTGTAGCTATAGCTGTGGTGAATATTATGAAACCTTTGTCAAAATCATTAATAATATCCTCTTCAATAAATTAGGTACGGTGCTCTCTCTCTCTCTCCCTCTTTCTGAATACAAACAGTAACGATGTACAGTGCCAAACACACACCAATTGTAATAAATACGAATATGTCATTAATTCCGTTAATATCACAATGATTTATGTAATAATACTATTCTCTCTATATACAGTATGTGTGTGACTGTGTGTATGTATACTCTATTAGATATTAAAAAATACCCCTGTAATAATAATAATAATAATAATAATAATAATAATAATAATAATAATAATAATAATAATAATAATAGCAACAACAACAACAACAATAATAATAACAACAACAACAATAATAATAATAATAACAATAACAATAACAACAATAACAATAACTAACACACATTATACACAATACAGTCACCACCCGCATCCCTGTAACGCCATGTGGGTGTTTACCGGTAACTAGGTCACTTCCTACACCACACTACCATATTATACGTCACCACGCGCCACACTATATGACACTACACTACATTATACGACACTACATGCCACACTATATGACACTACACTACATTATACGACACTACACCACATTATAAGACACTACACCACATTATACGACACTACAGCACATTATATAACACTAAACAGCACTATTAAACACTACACGACACTACATAAGATTACACGATACTATATAACATAGCACGACACTACACGACACTATAACACACCACCATACGACATTACACAGCATCATACATCACTATACACTACACCAGCACATCACCATAAATACACAGCTCTGTGGTGCATACTGTTCCCCTGTATGACACAAAACTACCTATTGTATGTCACTTTAAATAGCCTCTCCTCCAAATGCTCAAGAGTAGAGTAATTGTAAGTATTTATAAGTACAGTAGTAGATAAAATTTTCTGGATATTTAGCAGTTTCTGGCATGTAAGTATACGAGGATAATTTGGTGGGGAGGGTCGGAATTTTAACATACTGTATATTCTTAGATTTGTGTTGCATTAAGTTATTTTCATTAAATATAAATTAATCGTATATAATTATGACCCATAAGCAGATGCCAGGTATTGCCAAAGTGTTCAGGGAATTTTGTACGCAAGTGCACAATAAATGTTCCATGGTATTAGTTGTCGAGGCGAGTTTGGAGCGGCGGTTATACTGTATACTGTAGTGTTGCTGGCTATCGGGTTACGTATCCTTCAAGCCGTTAACGTTTCAATATTGGTTGGGTTTGAGTTAGATAAGGTTAGGTCAGTTAAGTTAGGGATAGATTTGGTTTAGTTAGAGTAAGTAAAGTTAGGTAAAGTTAAGGGTAGGTAAGGTTAAGGGTAGGTAAGGTTAAGGGTATTAGGTTATGGACAGGTAAGGTTACGGGTAGGTAAGGTTAAATGTAAGTAAGGTGAAGGGTAGTTTAAGTTAGGTTGGGTTAAGTCAGGATAAGTTAAGTC